GTCGAGTCTGTGCTAAACTCGGCGAGTAGAAGCGTATAGAGATTTGAGGAAAAGATAGGGAGTCGGCGAGTTGGCGAACCAAGTCGAAGAGTCAAGTCAGCTAGCAGTTGACTTTGACCAGGAAGTTGACTTTGATCAGGGGTAAAATAGTCATTTCACCCTCAGTTTAGTTATCAGTATTTGATTGAGTGTATATATGGGAATCGTAGCCGGGAGGGATACCGGAGCAGCAGCAGACAGTTCCCGAGTAGCTTCTTCAGCAACCAGCCTACGAGGTGAGTTTCCTTTTAGTAGGAACGGGTCTACGGCCACAATGCCGGCCCGTTTAGTTAGCAGTAGTTCCGGACGTCGGTCCAATGCAGTAGTTCAGTGTGCTTGAGGTCTTTGTGATTCAAGCATGTCTTTGTGTTATGTGTTCCGGACTTCGGTCCGATGCAGTATGCAGTATATGTGTTTAAGCCAGTAGTTGTGAATATGCCATGTTATGTTCAGTCAGTTCCGGACTTCGGTCCGATGCAGTTTCCAGACTTCGGTCCGATGCAGAGGGCAAGGCCCTGGTTAGTTTCGGACTTCGGTCCGATGCAGTTTCCAGACTACGGTCTGATGCAGAGGGCAAGGCCCTGGTTAGTTCCGGACTTCGGTCTGATGCAGTTTCCGGACTTCGGTCCGATGCAGTGGGCAAGGCCCAGTAGTTGTTTTATATGTTATTGTATGTTATGTGGTAGTTTGGGGGAACTCACTAAGCTTTGTGCTTACAGTTTCAGTTTTGGTTTCAGGTACTTCCGCTAGCAAGGGGAAGAGCTCGGGATGATGGCATGGCACACACCACAACTTCAGTTTAGCCTGGGAGTTCACTCTGATAGTTTGATATGATTTGACACATTTTCTTATTTGATACATTGATTATAAATTTTTGAGATACACGTTCCATGATTTTATGATATGACATTTAATGTTGTGATTTTTAGTAATGTTGAAACAAAAATTTTTGGGTCATATTTTTGGGTTGTTACAACTTGTCTTAGACTTCGTCCTCGAAGTCTACTATCTCGAACAACTCTGGGTAGTGCTCCCTTATTTCCTCCTCGGTCTCTCACGTCCACTCTGATCCCTTGCGGTGATGCCACTGCACCTTCACTAACTGAACAACCTTGTTGTAACATCCCAAAATTCAAGACCAAAAATTTCATTTTAATTAAGTTATTACATAAAACCAAAAGTATAAAAACATTTATAATAATATCTCATATCAAAACCAAAGTGTCAATAATCAAAACATAGTATCATAAAACCATATCAGAGTGTAATCCCAAAGATATCATGTGCGGAAAACATAGTGTGATGCGTTGCGATCAAGTCGGCTCCTTTACTTTGAAAACAAAGTACCTGAAATCAAAAACGAAAACCGTAAGCACAAAGCTTAGTGAGCTCCCCAAATACCACATACCATACATATCAACATACTGCCTAGCATATCTGGGTACTGGCCTACCCCTTCGGTCTCTTTCAACCGGATATTGTCTAGCATATAAGCACATAACTGGCATACTGTCATACATAACCATGAGCCATACATAAATCATAATCAATAAAGATGTTATGTGCCAAGCATAGTCTTGCCATTATGCCACGGGCCGTGTTCGACCTAAAAACTGTATTTTGACAGTTTTTCCTATCTTTCATATTACGGGATGAGGGTCATTTTTACACAGACACATCATATCATAGCACATTTTGTGAGAGGATTTCGAAGGTTTTTGCAAAGGTTTGATCAGTAATCATTTGGAAACATTATTTCTAGTATTTGTAAGTTGTAATTGCACATTATTTCCATCCTTTAAACTTGTGATCTTGTTCTAGCCATGTGTGGCTAGAACCCTAGTTTCTCCAACTTCATGTCTTGACTTCTTAGTTATGATTTCAATCATATGACTTGATGTTTGCTTTTAATTTCTATCTAGTGAATTTGATTTTGCTTTAATCGAATGTTTGATTCTAATTGTGATTCTTATTGGCCATTTGAATTAGGGTTAGGTCATTCAAGTTATCTCTTTTACAAGATCCGTAATTGTTTTGTGAAATTGAACAAGTAACAAGCACTAAACTGATTTCCATTGAATGAATTTAGTGTAAATCTTATTTCACACACTCTTATGCTCCCGAGCTTGTGAGGAGTATTGGGTGTTGTTGGGAACATTCACATAAAATTTAATGCGATCTTTCAATCTAATTCTAAGAGTGTGTTTAGATTAGGTTAGTAAGGTTAGGGTTAATCAAAGAGCTTGTTTTGGTTAATTAATGTGGTGAATGGGAAGTGTTAGAGCTTGTTAACACTTTCAAGTACCAACTTAGATAGAATTGAGCAAATATCATGTTATCTTGGAATCGCATTGCTAAGTTGTCATACATAGAGTTGGAGCGCTTACAAAGTCCGAATTTAATTCACTCGTTTAGTTGATTACTTATGTTTTTTATTTTTTGTTTAATCATTGCATTCTAAACCCCCCTCTCTTTACTATTGGTGACCATAGTACCTTCTGCAAAGAGGTATAGACCAATTGTCCCGTGTCTTTGTGGATCGACCCTACTTGCCTTGTACTACCTTTTAGTGCAATATAGTCGTGTTATTTTGGAGTATATCGTACCCCTTTATTTGTTGGTTCTGACACGCCTAACATGACTCATGAGCATTCCAGATACGAGGTGAGGGGTAATCCAGTCTGTAAAGTTGTGGTCCCGTTACATGCTTTTATTATGTGTACTATTTGTTATGTATCGGTATTTTGTGGGAACTCATTAAGCTTCTGGCTTACAGTTGTGCATTTTGTTTCAGGTACATCGGATGATCGCGGGAAGGCGAAGGCTTGATCGTGCACCTCCTCATATTTTATGTTATGATTTCTGGGATTTCTCTGATGTTAAACTATTTTGAAAACAATTTGTAAACAATGGATGGTTTTGGAATGTTTGAAAAGTTTAAAATTATTCATGAACTTTATGGATGTTACAGATGGAGGCGAAGTGATCACGACACCAGAAGCCGGAAAATCCACTCCGTCAACTGGAGAAAGACCATACGTTTCTTGCAAGGTCTCGAACTCGGAAGGTTTCGGAACAAGACCCATCAAAGTCGCCATAGCAGAAAATTATCAGAAAAAGAGAAAGCAAATGAAATGTAGAAAGAAAGTAGGAAAGGCGGAGGGGTTTTCCGGACTATAGGGAATGAGATAAGGGGCAGAACTTTTCAAAACTCTGACACAAGTGACGTAACCGCCAGAAAGGATGAGCGGTCACGTCGCGGAAATCGAAGCGCCAGGTGAACGAGGCCTCGACGCATGTAATGACAATTAAGTCCAAAACATCATTGCTAGCTAGCAAACACTATGACTACTGGACTAGGGGACTTGATGACGCGCCCCTTAGCGCGGGCCAGAAGCAGAGATCCCCCGAGCTAGAGGACCCCTCAGCTGGTTTGGCTAGGCCCAGCATAGCCGCCCCAGCAGGCCTCCAGCCCCCCAGGCGTTCCCTTAGGTTGGGACATCCGCACGGAAGGTTCGGCTTCGCCAAGGACACCTTCCGCTATACGAAAAACGTAACGGCTCCAAGCGACAAGGAGTATGCTCAGAGCATTACCGCCTAAATCAATTGTTGGCCCTGACACAATGAGGAACACGATTAACCAATCAGGACGACGGATCTTTTCGGAGCTGCAGTCCTTGTCCCTCGTACGGACCAGCGAGGGTCCTCAGTATAAAAGGACATCTACTTTTGCTTTAGAGGGTAAGCTATCTTTCCCGACTCTCACTACTCTCTCCCAAATATCTCACACTAACTTGACCGTCAGAACGTTTTCTCGGGACCTCCTCCCGGAGAACGGCTGACGGTTTTGTCTATTGTGACCTCGCAGTTTCCCTCCGACGTAGGAACACATCTTTAGAGCAGGTGGTCGGAGCGAATGTCGCATCATCGACCAAGTCAATTTATGCCATAACCCCATCAATAAACATGATGCTTGGAAACTTTGTAAACTTCCCACCATGATGAAGTTCAATAGTAAACATAGTAGGATTTCCCGCTGCAAAAGAAAAAAATGAATGTTAGATTTTGAAAAGTTTTCAACTTGATCAAATACATAGGATCTTGCCGTAAAAAATGAGTTTTTTATTAGGATTTGCTTATGTCACGTTATTAAAGGTGGGAGATGGAATACAAATAACCAATTGATATTTGGGGATAATATACGCAAAAGCCTTCTAATTGTCTCAAATGCCAGTAACGTTAGAAAGATATATATATATATATATAATAGAAAAAAAAAGGAAGATGTGAAAAAATAAGAATGCCCTCACATAGAGTGCATATGGTAGTTAAACCTATGGACCAAATCCACCAAAAGAAAAGATTTAAGTTGTGAATATTCATGCAAATCAAAAATTTACATTGAAAAGATTTTAGAAATCATCTATATTTTTACTAAACCAAAAGAATTATAGGATAAAAAAAAACAGAAATAATAAAACAATAAAAACTCCAAAAACTTAAATAGATTTTTTTTTTTGGCAACTTATTTAAGTAGATACAATCACAAGAATGGATCATCAAACAATAAAATTTGTAGTACAATTATCAATAACCAAACAATATACAAGTATTTTTTTTCCTAAATCTTTCCCACAAAATCAGCAAAGAACTCTGACGACCACCGTCATGGATTCAATCTCTGAAAACAAAATGAGCTGTTTCTTTAAATAATCTTTCTGTATCCCACGAATCCGCTTGCGAATCTGAGAATACCCAAATCCTCCCCATTTCCCTCTCTCTCACACAAAAACACACAGTAAATGGCGATAAATGCAGTTGCCCTTTGGTCTGTTCTTCAGACCCCACTTTATCGTAGCTTCTCAGATCAAGATACGTGTCCCTATAATTTTCTTTTCTTTATTCTAATTTTATCCTCAAATGAGGAAAACAGGAGAATTATTATTATATAAAAAAAGGACAATAACATGTGCGGGTGTATCAGATCTTTCGATTACATAAACCCATGTAAAAAGCTTTGAGCTTTAAGCGAAATAGAAGAAGTAGAAGAGGGAAGCTTTCATCAATGGCTTCCACTTCTTGTACTCTGGTTGTATTCATCTTCTTCAGCTGTTTTCTGTGCTTTTACATTTCGCCATTTGCAGAAGCAGCTAGCAATGTGAGTTACGATAGTCGGTCGCTTTTCGTCGATGGTGAAAGAAAGCTTCTTATCTCAGCTGCTATTCACTACCCTCGTAGTGTTCCTGCTGTAAGACTACCCACTAATTTCGAAGTTATGATTTTAGTTTAATTTTCAAGAAAGATCTTGGATTTTAGCTAAATGTATTTGGGTTTCTTGATTTTTTTTATTTTGCTTATTGAGTTTTGATATTCTTGAATTATTATCATTTGAAATACTACTAATGTTTATTACCGAAACAGTCTATTAAGGAAATGTATGTTGTTAGGGTTAATTAGGCTAAAAATCTAAAAATGGAAAGTAATGAAATTGGTTGATTTGTTTGAAATATTACTGCTATAGGAAAGTGAACCATAATGCTATTAATAAGGGTTTAAAGCTTATTTATTAATCTTTATTTCTTCGTTTTAGTGGAGAAATGATATAAGTCTATAACTTTTTTTATCACTTTTCAAGTTATCCTGAGGTTATTAGGCTACTTATATGAAAGTTTTGAAAATTCTACTTCTAACCAATGTTAATAATGGGTAACATGTTACCCTTTTGCTAGTAAAACTTTTCAATAATCTAGTTTGCATTGTGTGATATGAAAGTTTATATGAGAATGGAAACTATAGCTTTATGGTGTGCACTTTCTTGGATCAAATTCTTCCAAAACAATACAATTCTCACCAAAAATGACAAATTTACTTTATTTTTGATTAATTTGACATAAGTATATGAACTTTTGTTGTGATAGATGTGGCCTGGATTGGTGAAAACAGCAAAAGAAGGAGGCATAGATGTGATTGAGACGTATGTATTTTGGAATGGACATGAACCTTCACCAGGCAATGTGAGTGTCTTATTTTGTAAATAGAGCTTCATTTGACTTTTCAAACCATAGATATCTGAATAAAGTGTTATTTGAATAAATGATGTTTATATATATTTGAGAAAACAATGGGAGGTGGTAATTGTAATTCCACTTATGTTTTTGATTCATTCACTTAAGAAAAAAAAAGGTGTTGGCTTTTATACACCTCGTCATGATTCTTTGTATTCAATTAAAACGAGGGGTATAAAAGTCAAATCACCTTTTTTTTAAGTGAATGAATCAAATACTTAAATATCAATGGCACGTAGGAAAAAGAAACATAGTTAGGACTTAATGGGATTTCCTTACTTTTTGTGTTAAGTCGTTCTTTCTGTATCAAATCAAAAAGAAGCATAGTCTTGTTTTGTTCCAAAATGGTGACTAATTGATTATTTATTTATTTATTTTTATGTTTTTCTTGATGAGGTTTTTTTTAGTACTATTTTGGTGGAAGGTATGATTTACCAAAATTTGTGAAGATAGTTCAAGATGCTGGCATGCTTTTGATTCTCAGAATTGGGCCATTTGTTGCTGCAGAATGGAACTTTGGGCAAGTCAATGACTCATTATTTCTAACTTTAATTTATTTTCATGATTATTTATATGTTTATTTTGAGGATTTAATTTGTTTTTTTTTTAATTCCTATACAGTGGTATACCTGTTTGGTTGCATTATGTGCCAGGGACAGTTTTCAGAACAGACAATGAACCTTTTAAGGTGAGAAAAATGGTTAAATATTATCTTCTAAGTTTTTGCATTTTCAAAGTGATTTTGAAATTAGGGGTAGATTGGTCATTTTACATTCATCTTTTGGTTGAATGCAAGAAACAACAATGTAATTCCATTGATTTGTCCTATCTTTTAATCAGTTTCATAAATATAAACACATATGACTTGTGTAAAATGCAGCATTACATGCAGAACTTCACAACACTGATTGTGAATATGATGAAAAAAGAAAAGTTTTTTGCTTCACAAGGAGGTCCCATCATCTTAGCTCAGGTAAGTAAATGTTTTTTTCATTTTTTTTAATTGTTTAATAATCTTTTTTACTTTTTCTTAAAAATCGATCATCTTGAAATTGGTTTTAGCATACCACAAAGTTTCAAGCAACTCTGGTTTCATTTGCTTAAAAAAGACATATTTAACATTTATACAATCTTCAAACACACACATATCAGAAAGATATAGCAATTTTCAAAACTTTTAACATCATTTCTGAATATGTCATCAAATGATACAATAATTGTGATTTAATATTTTATAGGTGGAAAATGAGTATGGATACTATGAAGCTGCATATGGTGAAGGAGGCAAATCATATACTCAATGGGCAGCTAAAATGGCTCTTTCACAAAATACAGGTGTACCTTGGATAATGTGTCAACAATGGGATGCTCCAGATCCTGTGGTGAGGATTTGAAACATGAAAATAGGGACCAAAAACGAAAAAAGATTCTTTTTTGGACCAAAATTAAAGAAAATCATTACCTTAGGGACCAAAATCGACAGTTTACTTTTTTATTATAACAATTGGACTTGTGCATATGACCCGAAAGTAGTCATATGATTCAACGTGTAATAAAAATGATTCTATTTTGTAGTAAAGCTTGTGGAAATGATTATTAGAATAAATAATTATGCAAAATACAGAAAAACATTTGTACTTTCACAATCAGTTATATATTTTCTGTAATGATTAAATTTAAACCAAACTTTATACCATTATTTTTTTTTTTTTGTTGTTGTTGGTTATCTGGTTTTCAGAAAGGGCAAAATAATACATCACACTTTTACCATTTTATCGATTTAACCACTGGATTATTATATTTGATCAATTTAGCTAATAATCATTAAAAATAAAAAGACTTGTTTGTAATATTTTTATTACAGATTAATACATGCAATTCATTTTATTGTGATGATTTCAAACCAAGCTACTCAACAATGCCCAAAATCTGGACTGAGAATTGGCCTGGATGGTATGTTTTCTACACTTATTATTATTATTTTTAAATAATAACAACATATTTATATATTATTTTACTAATAATAACAAAATTACTTATATATTTGTGTGATAGGTTTAAGACATTTGGAGGAAGAGATCCTCATAGGCCAGCTGAAGATGTTGCTTATTCTGTTGCTCGATTTTTTCAAAAAGGAGGAAGTGTCCATAATTATTATATGGTATTCTTTTTTCTTTATAAATGTTATAAATATATAGCATTTGTAATTTCTCCATGTGTTAAGTTTATTGTTTTAAATTTTTTTTTTTTTTTTTTTTTTTAGTATCATGGTGGGACGAATTTTGGACGTACTTCTGGTGGGCCATTTATCACCACAAGTTATGATTATGATGCACCAATTGATGAATATGGTTAGCTTTTTTCAATCTTTTTTTTTTCAATCTATAATTGGAATGTTGTTATGCTTTTTTCTTGATAATAGCAACCTACTTACATTTCATTATTAATATAGTAATATGCAAAATGTACTTTTATAAGTATGTTGTGATTATAGGTAAAGAAATTTAAGTAGTTGTTATTATGGGTAAAAAAACAAATTACATTTGAAAAGTTTAGATTGCTATTATTGGTAAAGAATGCAAGTATAATACTTGACATTGCTATTATCAATAAAGAAACGTAGTTATCTTACTATTATGAGTAAGATATAGATTACATTCCTATTTTATGCGATTTTCACTTTATAAAGTTTCTGAATAAGTTCTAAATATTTTTTTTGGATGGATTTAGGGTTACCAAGGTATCCAAAATATGGGCATCTTAAGGAGCTTCATAGAGCTATAAAGTTGTGTGAACAAGCATTATTGAACAATAAACCGACTTTGGTTCATCTTGGTTCTCAACAAGAGGTGGATTTTTATCATCCCTTTTTTCATTCATGCTCACTCATCCCATGAAAATCACAACATTTTTATTTTCCGAAGCCAAACTTACCTATTTGCCCTTTGTCACTATTACAACATATTGGTGCTGCTAATCTTTCCGTATTCCGTTTTTCTCAATAAGTGTTGTCTAGATTAATGATGTTTATACTTTATATAATACTAGAGAAAATAGCGACACACTTGGGGAAATGGAATGAAAAAACTAAACAACGTAAGGGTAAATTTGTAAAAAGTTAGGACTTCTATGGGGAAAGCCTTCTTTCTCCATAAAGTCGTTCTTTCTGTATCTAGTAAAAAAGAAAGCTCCTATACATAATTTTATAAATTTTCGTTTGTAAATCTAATAACTCATGTTTTGAACCTTAAACTTTCAGATTTAATTCACAAGAATCCCCAATTTCTTCGTATCTTATCATATTTGATGTGATTTATTTTTTCTTTTTATTAGGCTGATGTCTATGAAGATGAATCAGGGACTTGTTCTGCCTTTATTGCAAACTTAGATGACAAAAATGAAAAAACAATACAATTTCGGAATGCTTCATATACACTTCCAGCATGGTCAGTCAGCATTCTTCCAGATTGTAAAAATGTAGTCTACAACACTGCAAAGGTAACTTCATTTATTTGTTTATAAAAGCATCCTACTTTCATCTTTTTCCTATTAAAGCATTCTACTTTGAAAAATCTACCCAATTATATAAAAGTAGGATGCTATAAAAAACAAATCATTGAAAGTACATTGCTATTTCTTGCAAATAGGTTGGATCTCAAACTTCCACCATTGAAATGATCCCAGAGCAATTGCAACCTTCATCAGCTTCACCACATAAAGATTTGAAACCACTTAGTTGGGAAATATATGTGGAAAAACCAGGGATTTGGGGAGAAGCCGATTTTACTAAAAATGGTTTTGTGGATCATATCAATACAACAAAAGATACAACCGATTACCTTTGGTATACAACTAGGTTCGTCTCTAATTTAAAAGCACTTAATAAAATTAACTATATGTCAAATGACTAAAATACCCTCAATGACCGTTGTAGATTAAATGTTGATGAGAATGAAGAATTTCTAAAGAAGGGAAACAAACCAACGTTGTTGATCGAGTCAAAGGGGCATGCTCTTCATGCCTTTGTCAATGGCATACTTCAAGGTTCTATGGTCAAGATACATTATTGAAAAAGTCAAATCATGATTTGACTTTTTTTTTGCTCATTATATTGTTTTTTGTACATGTGTTTTGCAGCTAGTGGATCGGGAAATGGTACGGTTTCGCCCTTTAAGTTTAAGAGTTCGGTTTCATTGAAGGCCGGGAATAATGAAATTGCTATTTTAAGCATGACTGTAGGCCTTCAAGTGAGTTACTTTTTTTGTTCAATATTTTTTCTTTTTAGAGTAAATTACACGAATGGTCCCTATGGTTTGGGATAATTTGCGTGTTTGGTCACTAACTTATTTTTTTAACTCGGAAGGTCTACTGTTTGTTTTTATTACGCGCTTGGTCCCTGTTTTACCTAAAAATACTGTTATTTAAATAGGGAAAAATGGTGGGGCATGTAAAGTAAGGTGAGGGGGTGGGATTGGGGGTGTGTTTATTTAAATAAATTAAAAATTCAAGGGCAAAATAATCTTTTTAGGTAAGACAGGACCAAGCGCGTAACAAAAACAAACAGTAGGGACCTTCCAAGTTAAAAAAATAAGTTAGGGACCAAACGCGCAAATTACCCTAAACCATAGGGACCATTCATGTAATTTACTCTTTTTTTTTATGTGTCTTGTTTATATTCAATAAATAAAATATTTATGTGATTGAATTGTGGGTCCCATCTAATAGAATGCAGGGTCATTTTATGAATGGGTTGGAGCGGGTTTAACGAGTGTGAAAATTAAAGGTTTGAAGAGTGGAATCGTTGACTTGTCTAACACCACATGGACCTACAAGGTGCTCTCTCCTTTATTTTGTTAATGTTTGACTTTTATTGGTCAAAATTTTCGATTTTATAGGATGTATAGAAATTAGTAAAATAATCCTCAATGGTATTTAATTTGAATAAGAACTTTTGGAAAATGGAAGAATTTGAAACCCTATGTTGAATTTGGATATGGAAAGTACTATGTTTGACTCTTTAAGTGTCTATTTGGTTTGGATGGAATAGAATTAACAAAAGAATGGAATTGACAAGGTAATGGAATAAGTCATTACATTTCATGATTGGGTTTGGTTAGCGTGAACTTTTTATTTCAATAAACCAAAAAGTTAAACATATTAAAAGCTCATTAGAATCCAAATGAGGTTATATCGCAATTTTCCATCCATAATGCAATGGAAAAGAAACACTCACTAACTAAATAATGAAAATTAACAAAATGGAAGGAATCACATTCCTACAAGAGTTGCCCATTCCGTTCCATCCAACAAAAAAACAACCTTTTGTTCCTTCGAATGGAATGAACCATTCCATTCCTTCCCCAATTCCATCGTACCAAAACACTACCTCAATATTTTGGCTTTTACAGGTTGGGGTAGAAGGAGAGCATCTTGGTCTATACGATGTTGATGGTTCAAAACACACAAATTGGACCTCAGTTTCAACACCACCAAAAAAACAACCATTGACATGGTATAAGGTATGTAACTCAAAGGGGGACTTTTATACTATATATTGTTATTATTACTTGTAAAATACATTTTCATATGATATTTTATATTCTATTTATATTTACTTCATTTGTTTTAGCCATGTGAGAATCATGATCCCCTTCTAAGCCTTAAGCTTGTGGGCTTGGGCTACCAATAACTTCCACCATGGTTTTGACTTTTGAGCATTTTTAAGTCTCATTTTGTTACGAAATATTGTTTTTTTAAGAATGAATGAGTAATTATTAAATCTTGTAGGCTATTGTGGACCCCCCACGAGGAAACGAGCCCATTGGGCTTGATATGGTTCACATGGGAAAGGGGTTGGCATGGCTAAATGGGGAGCAAATTGGAAGATATTGGCCTCGTAAAGCTCCAACCGATAAATGTGTTAAAACTTGTGACTATAGAGGCAAGTTTAACCCTGATAAATGCAATATGGGGTGTGGACAACCGAGCCAAAGATGGTAAAATCCCCCTTCTACCCATCACATAATAAGAGTTAAAGTATAAGAAATAGCAATGCACTTTCATTGACTTGTTTTTTATAGCATCTGAATACCAAGTAATGCCATAATCAAGTAGATTTTTCAAAGTATAATATACTAGTAAGAAAAAAAAATGAAAGTAAAATAAAAATACTATAATTTGGAAAACTTATCATAGTACAATGTTGTGATAGATTAAATAAACGATGCTATAATACACAAAATAATAGTACAATGCTATAATATCCTAGTAAGAAAAAAAAAAGTGAAAGTACAAGGCTATATTTTGTCCTATAAAACTTTTCAAAGTACAATGTTGTAATAGGACAAAGTGAAAGTACATTGCTATTTCTTGAATTTAACCCTGAGTGCTTAGATATGATAAAAAGATAATCTCTAATGACATTGTCATTATGCATTATACAAACTAGGTATCATGTTCCAAGATCTTGGTTCAAGCCATCGGGCAATGTTTTGGTGATATTTGAGGAGAAAGGTGGAGACCCTACTCAAATTAGGTTTTCAAGACGAAAATTAACAAGTCTTTGTGCTCATGTATCCGAAGATCACCCTTCTTTTTCCACCAACAACTTGCAAAAAAACATTGCAAGTTTGGAAATAAAATGCCCAATGAACATGCACATTTCGGCTTTCAAGTTTGCTAGCTATGGAACTCCTACGGGGACTTGTGATTCCTATTCCGTTGGCGATTGCCATGATCCCGATTCCACTTTCATTGTTGAAAAGGTAATTGCTTTTCCAATCCGTTCTAGACTAATATTTCAATGTTTGGTCGTGTGTGGTTTGCAAATTTTTACGGAATCGGAATTTGTGATTCCATTCCATGGTGTGTGTTTAGTTGGAAAATGGATGGAATTCACTTCCATCGGAATTCTTCAAAATTATATGTTTTGATTTCAACGTTCCTAGGGGAAGGTGGAAATAATTCATTTCCATTCTCCTTTTTTATGAAAAGACCAAAATACCCTCGTTATATATAAATTGAACTAAAAGAAAACAAAACTTTCATTTTCAATCATATTCATTTACAATAACCAAAAAATATTTAGATAGATAAAACTATAATGTTCCTTCATATTCCAATTCATTTGACAGATTCCCTTCCTTACGTGATTCCATTCCATTGTTTTATACAGCGATGCTTAAACAAGACCGCATGCATCATAGAATTAACCAAAGAGAATTTCAAGACCGAACTTTGCCCCGGAACAACGAAGAAACTTGCAGTACAAGCAACATGCAGTTGAATCCAACCATTTTTACATACGTTCGATTAAATGTTTTATATCACTATGAGTTGTTTTCTACATAGGATTTGAATTTAAACATGTTTTGTTTTTCTTTTTTCAAAATCTTGGGAGGCCTATCATTCATTTTCATATTCTATGAGAATAAAACTTAACTATATGTTTTTCTTTTTCTTGTGATGGTTTTTTAAGGGTTTTCTATATTTGGGCGAAAACGTCTTTTTAACTTATATAACCAATCAAGCTTCAAAATCAGTTGTTCCAAAAGTGGCGCAATTTTCGCCACATTTTTTGTGAACTTGTTTCATTCTTTCTACCGATTTGCAAATACCACTGCAACTCCAATCGAATGAAGCAATGCACACATTGCCCGTTTCTGCTTTCCATTCGCACTCTGTAATAATAAAGTCAAAATTAATTTCCACACTTGAAAAGTCAAAATGTTGACTTTTTTATATAAAAAAAAATTTAGGATGATATGCACCGGGAGGGGTCCCACAACACATGTTCCGATCATCAATGTGCTCTACATCAAGACCAATAAACCAAGCACCGAGTGAGACATCTTCGTTTGCATACTTATGCAATATTTCCCTGATCAGTCAGATAAGCTGTATATCAGTGTTTTTTTACTTAATACAAAAAGAACGATTTATAATAAGAAATTAGGAAAATGAGATTTTTCCCCCATCCAGTTCTAACTTTTTTTTTTTTTTTTTAATTTTGTTTTCCAAAGTATGTAGTCGTTTTTTTTTTAAACAAGAAAGTAAATAGCTTAAGAATAATTACTGATTGGTGGAGATATATGCAGCAAGATCGCTTGAAATAGCATAAATTTGTCCAGTAGCATGCCGAAAATATCTATTTCCTTCCTCACCAAATTTCCAATATTCTGGTTCATGGTATTTAACATTCCTAAATAACACAAAAAGTCAAATATACCCTCTGTAACAATTTATGTATTTCACTGTTAAAAAAATTGCAATTCTTAGTAAAAGAATGGAGATGTTACTTTTGAGAAAGAACAGGACCAGATTTCATGCAGCCCATATAGACTCTAGGCTTAGTTTGATGCCTATGGAGGCTTGAAGCTAACATGCCTGATCATAAAGGGCAAATAAGTAATTTTAGCTTTTGAAAAACCCCAAAATGATTTTTTTTTTTTTTTTTGAATATATATACCCAAATTGACATGAACATCATCGTCCACTTTGACATAAAATTTTGCATCCCAATTGGCGTATGCAGTGGCAAAGAATGTTCTTGTTTTGGCTGTTAATTCGTGATACCCTTCAACATGTTTCTGAGGTGATTGATAATAATAAAATAAAATCAGATATTGACTGATCTCAAGGGTAAAAAAAATATTGAGTAAATGTGTGTTTGATCTTACAAGCCTCAGAAAGTCTTTATGTTGTGATTCCTCAGAATCTATGGCTCGATCCAAAATGCTTTTGGATGTTGCACTACAAAAAATGGAAGGTTAGTTTGGTCATTTTGTCTTTTTGCAAACAAACCATCGTTCTTAAACAGATTCAAATTCGTTTATTTTTGTAAACTACTCTCTTTTTAAAGCATTTTTAAAGAATTATCCAAAAGTTGATCACTTTCTTGAAAATATAATACCAAGTTGTTTGAGGTATTTTACAGAATATATAGTGCTAAAGAAAGAGACATTTTTGCATATATATTGGAGAAATATTATTTGACCAATTATCAAACACAAACATACACTGAAAAAGAAATGAAAGATCGCATCACCTATGACCAATTATGAAACGGACAACAATACCCTTTTCCTTCTCAAGCTGAATTAACTTTTCACCTAGTCAAGAACAAAGATTCACATGTTATTACAATCTCACAACACAATATATGGTAAGCAATTACATACATGGTTTTTTAAGACATGCACTTTAAAATGCATGGAATTTGATCAACAATCATGTAAATGACAAACGTACCCCTAGGCATCCATGTTTCTCTAACTGAATCACGCCTTCTTCTGCTACTAAAAGCAGTATTAATCCCAATAACCACAAATGCTTTTTTCCTTCTTGAGTCTTTTTCAGAAACAGTTTTGTTTGCTTGTAAACTTCCATGGTTAAGTTTCTCAGGTGAACTTTCAGCAATAGGAAGCTCCATTCGCAGCTTTGAAAGCGAGTTTCCAAGTGATCTGACAGCCCTCCAATTAATGATACATTAGTCTTTACCATTAGATCGATATATTTGTAAAGAACATGCAATTATGTTTAATTTTTCTGTAAAGCGTTCACTAATCACTATATAGAATGAAATATAGATTGATAGAAAATCATGTATGCAAAGAGTGTATTGATATGGAAGATTGGAAATATTCACCGGATTGCTTCATCAGATTTGTGAATTGCTCCGAGTATATCAGAATCCTGAATCAAACCCATTGAAATCCCATCAAAAAAATGTTGATGAAGAGAACGATAAAATTCAATTTCATAATGTAGGTGTTTTTGAAGAACAGTTTAACCTTATTTGTTATGCAATCATCGGAAATAATTTTGATTTCCTGTTCACGTCGCCGCATAACCTTCCCATCGGAATCAAGCGGAGCCCACACCCTACAATCATCATTACAATAACCCCCAATTTCAGTTCTGATTCGTGATCAAATGCGATTAACTCGACACTCCAGGCTTCTGATTTGAGAAAATCAATCAAACAATTGATCGCATATGATCAAGTGGGATGTGCAAAGTCATTAAGAAACCTCGATTTCAGTTATTGATTGATGATCTGTAAACAGACCTGTTGGTGAAGATCATGCCGAATGCGAAGCTGAAGGTGCTGAAAATGAGTATCCATTTGGGTGACACTTTGCGTCCAGTGTAACGCGTGTTCTTCATCTTCTTCTGTTCGCGCGCGAAGTGGAAGAAACAGATCCAACTATGAAAAGTTTCGTGTGTGTGAGATGATTACGCATAAATGTTTCGATCTGCATCGTGAATGAATCCATTTTTGTGGTAACTGATTCTCGCAAAATCATGGCTTTGCACACAATATTTGTTCATGTTCTATAAAATCGATTTTTAGAAAATAACAAATAGATATAGTCATGCAAATAACTTGTGGATTTTTATTTTTTTAATATTTTTTATTGTAAATAATTACAAAATATTGATGCGGTTTTAACGTTATAGAATGATTAATTATGTTAAATTTTCGTTTTATAACATGAAATTCATATTAAATAACATGGAATATTGGAATATATGTGATATTCATATTGTATAAGATCAAATACATATTAACAACTTGAAAATTCATATTAGATCAACATGAACTTAACGTTATTTATGTGTGTTTCAAAATTTATTACATTGTTTACATTTCATCGTATATGTATTATGCAATGCAGACGTGTATTAGTTGTTTAAGAAATTATTTTCTTCCGTGTTTTGCCCATGGTACATTGCAAATTAGTTTTCTTGGTTTTTGAGAGCTTGGCTACACTATGGATACACAACTAAGCTTTAGCCTACAAGGTAAGGTATGGGCCGTTGAGGATGGATGTTATAGCATCCAAACCTTGTCATCTCACATTCCAACATGTTATAATCTGGAGTGAGGGTGGTGTTCCCGTGTTATAACATGGTGTTGAGAGAGAGAGAGAGTACTCCTATTTCAATATGTTATGGCGCCAACGCCCCTTATCATAACATGAAGGTGGGGCGGTGTTCATGGTGTTATAACGCCATTATGACATGCCGTATAGGATCTCAACGCCCGAGCCTATACCCAATAGCCTTAAATCTAGGTATGTTACACAAAATTACCTAATAGTTGCCTTTATAACTAATAGTTAATAGCTGAAACTGTAACTTTTATCTGTGTACAAGTTTGACAAATGTAGTTGTAATATTTTGAAAGATGTAAAATGACATAAAACATAAAAGCTAAACCTTCTCAAAGTTACCTCAAGTACTTTTTGTGTTAAGAAATTTTTTGCTTCCGATAAAAGTTTTAAAAGAAGACAGAGTTTGAATATTTAATTAGATTATTGTAGAGTCTTTATGAAGTATTTCAATATTGCATCATTTGCTCATTTCTACATAAAATACTTTTTTTTGCCTGAAAATATTTTTTTATTTTTTCCGAAAAAACCCTCAACTTTGTATTTTTTTTTTCCAAAAAAAACCCTCAACTTTCTAATGCTTCTAAATAAACCCTTAATTTTTTAGTTTTTCGCCAAAAAAAATCACAATGGTTAAAATCAAACGATTTCGAGTTCGTCGGCAAAGCTTTTCGATCGATTGAGAGTCTGTTTCTTCCCGATCGTTTCTTCTTCCTCCACAGCAAAACTTTTCGAATCCACAATGCAGTTTGTTTTTTTTTTGGTTTTTTTATGTGGTTTTACTATTTTACCCCTGCTACGTCACTTCCTCGGAGAGAAAACCCTTCCGCAGAGGGTAAAGGTGTTCCGCAGTGCAGAGGGTAAAGGTGTTCCGCAGTGCCCCTCTCTGCGGAAACCTTGGTCATTTAATGAAAATGTCATTTTGTGGTTATTTTTTTCAAACACCCCTACTTTTTTGTTATTCCACAAATTTTCCCGCTTTTAAATGTATAAATATCTTTTTAAAATATAAATATGCTTTCAAATATACAAATACGTATTTAAATATATAAATATGTTTTTAAACCTATACATACCTTTAAAATATATTTATACCTTTAAAAAGTATTTTTTTTTTTTTATCTTTATAATTATATTTATACACACACCACACACATTCATAAAAATATATAATAGAAATAAGCAAAATCAAAATACCCAAAGTAAAAAAAGTATTAATATTAGTAATTATCAGTGTTACACATTATATATATAAAGTCTGACTTGTATTCATATAATGAGTTTACGCCTAATGGTAAGGCGTTTGGATTGATTGTTTGTCGACTCGAGTCCGAATCTCGCTAGCTCCGTTTCTTCTTTAATCCGTTACGTGTTCAAGTAAAGGATGAATTAGCCACCATGTTGGAAGAAGTCCAATCAACGCCAAATTAGCCTTTATTTTCAATTACATATATTTGCCAAAAAGTTTAACCACATAATTTTATTTGATCAAAAAACACATGCATTTGTCTAGTTATTACATAAATCATGAAAAAGATGAAACGTTGTTGCATAAATGCACATTTACAACCCTTTCAAGATCTCTAAGTATAGAAACTTCACTATTTAATACCTAAAAAGTGAAAACTTTACATGAAATCGATAACCCTAATCTCACTTATACATCATAGCAACATACTTTCATCTTTTATAAGGTTTAACATGATACTTTTCAAATTCTGAAGAAAATGAAATCGACTCATCATCAAGTTTTTTCTTCAATCTCCTCCATGTCCTCAACATATCCGATTGTATCAACCCTTTATACAACGTCTCAAACGTAACCTTTTGTGGCAAAATCCCTTTTTCAATCATTTCAACAAAATATTCACACGCATCTCTCCACTTTTCCTTTTCACACAATCCATGAACCAACAAAGTGTATGAATCCAAATCGGGCCCACAAACACTACCCTTCATATCATCCCAAATCTCTTTCACAAGATCAAAACGATTCAAATCCATAAACATCCCCATAAGTATGTTATACGTATGCGTATCGTGTAAAAAAACACAATCTTTTTTAATTTTCTTATACAATCTCAAAGCACCATCGATATCTTTCCTACCTCTATATTCCTTAAAGAAACAGTTATACGTTGTGCCAGATGGCGTAACCCCATTGGACACCATTTCATCAAGCAAAATCTCAGCATCTTCAAGATGCCCACATGAACAAAGACACTTTACAACAGATGTGTAGGTTGCTAAAGTTGGATGAATCCCTTTATCTTTCATGATCTTTAACTTTTGAAGTGTGAGATTTGGCTTATGTGCACGGCTATAAACATGTAGGATAATTGAATAAGTAGTAACATCAGGGTCAACCCCTCTTTGTGGCATTTCATCGAGCAGTTTCTCTGCAGCTTGAATTGTTCTTGTGAATCGATCTTCAGGGTGTAAACTTGACTTCCGACATATTCCATTTAACAAAACATTGTAAGTAACAACATTAGGTTCGATTCCATTACTCACCATCTCTTTAAAAAACTTATCAGCCATCTTGGGTTTGTTCATTTTACACCACCCGTATATCAGAATCGTGTAAATCTTTGCATCAGGTTCAAATCTCCAGTTTTTCCATTTGTTGAACATCTCTGTAGCAACTTTTGGGTAGCCATATTTACAAAGGGTATCAAAAAGAAAATAGAAGTCATGAACGGGTTGTTGTTGTTGTTGTTGTTGTTCTTCAGTATCGTTTACCACAAAACAACCCATATCATCAAATGCACGGATAGCTTGGCGGGTTAGACCCGCGGATATAAGCCTCCGGACCAGGACATAGAAAGTGGTGGAAGTTGGGTTTACACCATTTTGATCCATTTCTATGATCAATTGCCAAGCAACATCGAATTGTCTAACTTTACCTAATATGTCGATCATGAGGTTGTAAGAATGGGAGTCGTGAGAGTAGTGGGATTGTTCTTTAGCCCATGAGAAGAAAGCTAAGGCGATCTTGGAGATGTTTTTGAGACGAATTAGCGTTTGGTGGACAAGAATTGGGGAAATCTTGATTCCGTTGAGTTGTAGAGAGGATTCCATGGTGTGGAATGGGTTATGGTGTTGGATGAGCATTTGAGAAATTAAATCAGCATCATTTGATGGTTCGAGTGAAACAAGTGTAGGTTTTAACACACTTTCTGGTATAACTTCTTTGGGTTCAGAAGTGGGGGAAATGAATGAAGAAAGTGAGCGGAATTGGAACAAACTGGACATAATTCGAGAGTGGCTGAAACGCAGTGCCATTGGAATTTGGAATATAACAAACAAGCGAAGCTATTCAACTAGAAGAATGAAGAAAACATCAATGAGCTACAATTTTCATGGCGATTCTACTCTTTTCGCATCATAAGCTGAGTGTGTCTCCGTATATGACCGAAATTGGAATACCAAACAGCTACAGACAATGGTAAACCCTAGAAAAGAAGTTCAAGTTTGATCGAGAGTTGTGTGCTTCGAATCATTTGATAAGCCTACTTAATTCGTTAATTTAGGGATGTAAAATCTATGTAATTCACGAAGTGATGAAACAAATTTATGTAAATTATGGGAAAACAATGGCAGTGTCTAACCTTAATCGAACGAAGAGATACCGACGGGAAATGAGAACAACGGCGGCGGTCGGCGGAGCGAGGGTGAGGTTTATGCGCGCAGCAAGTTATGTTTTAATTTGTTACTGAAATCGCTAAAAAATAATAAAATATTTTTTTTCATAAATAACTGTCAGTTTTGTGATGTCCGGTTTTGCTTTTGTAAAGTTCATATTATTGCGGAAATAAAAAATTTTATAGAGAAAAAAAAAATCGAAGCTTTTCTTTTTATTGTGGTGATCTTCAAAACTTATTTTCAGAGCAAAAAAAAAAAGTTTCCTAATATGAAAAAATGAAGTCGGAACCCCCTTGATGAAATATATAATGTTGGAGCCTTATTATTATTATTTTTCTTTTGTTTTCTTCATTTAATCCACTTTCGTGCGTTGAATTTGTTCATAACACCCAACAAATATAGAATTAGCATGATTTAGCTGCTCCCAATGATTCTGAAGTGTCTGATTATTTCTCTCCGCTTAGGTATATTATGACGATACATATTGTAATATTCGGCTACACGACGTCTGATCTATATTGATCAATATCGATTGTTGAGTTTTTGCCTATGTTAAGCCATGAGCTATACAACAATATGTCATCTTGCGTCGTCTACTGACTATTCCTTCTTGTTTGCGTAGTTTTTTTTACGATTGTTTGGTTTCTCTTGCAGCGGATGTGGTTGAAAATTTGGTTTATATGGGTAAAATGGCATTTGAAAATTTGGTGGACCAAAACTGAAACTAGAAGGCTTTTGAAAACTAGGATTCATCATTGAATTATTGTATACTGACGTACGAGGATTTGTGTCTTGAGTATTATCAACAGGGATATAAGATGCATTTTAAGAGAAGTTTTAAAAAAATGGATTAAAATGAGGCTTTTTGGATCTATATTATGAAAATTAAATGACTGTGGATTGCAGACATATGTCTATACATGTATATGTATTCTAAACTAAATGCTTAAAAATTTAGGTGTGTGCACTATAGATAAGTTATCAATATACTATTTCACAGTCAAATTATATTAAACAATTATTTGTATACTATTTCTCTGTAAAATAGGACTGTATGCCGTGAGGATTTGGAGACAAACAAAATGAGGATTAATATTGTAACATTCGGTTTGTGATTCATGTTTTTGTAACGTCTTTATTTAAATATTTAATAATGTAAAATAAATTTAAAATTTATTATTATTTTGTTATTTTATATTTAAAAATGTTATTTTAATTACAAATAATTAAATTTATGTGTATTTATTATTAAGTAAATATTAATATTTAATATATATGTTAGAATAGATAAAATAATTTAATTATATAGGTCACATGTTGGTGGTATTGTATTGATGTAAAAGTAATTATAAAAGCTAATGTAACATGTTTGAAAGATGAATGAGTTTTGAAATATAAGTGGATAACTAGTTAAAAAGATAGCCGGATCCACCATGCTAAAAAACAATTTAAAAAGAAAATATAAACAACTAACAGGAGATACAAATCCATTTGTAAACAAGCATAATTGCATAACTACATAAAACAAAAGCATTCAAAATTAGCATATATAAAAGATCAATTAAACCATGATCTTTACAACACCATAACCTCATTTTGTACACTGGAACATGAATCAAACACAAAATGATTCATGACAACACTTCAAAAATATCGCAACAATTTCATTAAAATCATTTTTTAAACATTCATGACCCTATTGAAATCATCAACAACATCATCCAAATCCAAATCAATGGTTTCTGTTTCACCACGAAGCTTTGCAAGCTCTGAATTCAACTCAGAAATTTGTTTCCTTATCTTCTCCCCTTTATCTGATAACCTTTCCACCATTGCCTGAATCAATCACACAAACAAATATCACAACAGCTTTACATACTTCCTCCAATATTTATTTATTTTTTTAAATATAGGGGTAAAATAGTCCTTACCCTGTTTGCAAAAACATTTGATAATCGTTTGATTTGGTCTTTGATTTCTGATTCTGTTAGTTTGTTGGAAATAGAAGGGGAGACATTCTTCCTTTTCACAACAACATCCTTTGGATTGATAGCAAATTGAGCTCCCCTATAAATGAAACAAAGAATAATAATAATAAATTAATAAATAAATAAAATATATGTTTTTAAGTTAAAAAAAAGATTGAGAATTTAAGAAGACATACGCATCCATGTTTGGTTCACGTGAGTTGTAAGAAGATGAGTTTCCCACATAAGTTGATTGCCTAATCCTAAAAACGATTCAGAGAACTCATTAGATATGAAATTACTAAAATGCCCTTGAAGGGCAAAAAGGATAGATATATCACCTTGTTAGTTCTTCATCTTGCACAACAGGGACTGGAGCAGTTTTTGAGAAAAGCAAACTGTGGTTACTAATTCCAGCTATACCAAGAGACTCCAAAAACTTTGTGTGATCTTTAAGAGATGCATCCCTATAAACAAAAAAAAAAAAAAAAATTGTTTTAGAGAAATTTAATAATTCAAATCACATTTTTTTTTTTAAAAAAACATATTTTAAATGAATTACAAAGTACAAACATTTTGTGTTCACAATCATGCTCTTCATGCAACTGTTGTTGAGTTAAAGAAACATCAAAACCCTGTTTTGGTATACTGAAAAGCTCCCTAAGATCCTGAAATAACAAAACACAAATAAAAAAATATATATATCATTTTCCATAATTTATTAATCGAAAAAAAAGAATAATAATAAGAAAATACTCACTTGTTGACTGAAATATCGAATTTGCTCTTTGTGTTCAGTAGCACTTCTGAATAAACCCCCTTTGTATATCTGCATCATAAATTTTTATTAAAAAAAAAAAATCAAATATGAAAAGAGAAAAATAACTATTGGGTGCAAAAAGACGTAAATGCCCTTAAAGATAAAATCATGTTTTTAACCTGCTTTCTGTAAATCTTTTCTTCAACTGTTCCACAAGTCATCAACCGATATACAATTACATCTTTCTTTTGTCCAATTCGATATGCTCTATCAACACTTTGATTATCAGTACTACAAAAAAATATTTAGTTTCAGAATATTTATATTTTAATAAAAAAAAAGATTTGTTAAAAATTAAGTAAAAAAAAAAAAGGCAACCTTGGATTCCAAGCTGGATCAACTACTATGACCCGATCTGCTTTTGTTAAGGTGAGTCCCAAACCACCAACTTGAGAAGTCAAAAGAAATATTGGAGCTCCAATACCTTCTTGAAAATCCTGTTATTATTAATAAATTATTATTAAATGTCATATTTTTTTTAAACTGAATAAAATAAAATAAAAAAGTCACTAACATCAACAATCTTTAATCTGTCACTGGCTTTGGTAGTACCATCGATCCTCAAAAACTTGTAGCCTCTCACATCAAGAGTATCCTAAAAAAAAGGTAAAACTATAAATTAAAAAAGTGTGATATGTAAAAAAATAAAAATGATAACACTTTGAGAAAAAAAAAAAAAAAAAAAAAAAAAAAAAACTAAACCTGAATTAGATTAAGCATTTTGCGAGTCTGTGAAAAGATAAGAACATTATGTCCTTCTGGAATCAGTTTTTCCTGTAATGGATGATTAAAAAAAATAAGTTTAGTTTTAAACACTATGTATCCAAAGAGTATTAAAATTTAAGAAAAAAGGTATAAGGATTAAGGGTATGTATGTAATATGTAACATTCTAACCAGTAAAGACATAATAAAGAAGATCTTGCAAGAAAGTTTGTCATGAGTTTCCCCAATGTCATATTCCTCTGCAGCATCTGCTATATGCATTGCCAATTTTTCAGCAATTCCTTGATCTTCCTCATTTAGCCCTGTTTCCATTCCTTCTAGAAGATCTTCAGCAGCTCTTTTTGTTAATAACAATGGATGATCACATATCTTTTTCAATATCTATTAAATGTAAATCATAAGCATTAACTTTCACTAAAAGAAAAATCCACCAACAACTAAGACTGATGTTAATGGGACAAAAAAAAATTGAATTCTTTTATCTTTTATCTGTGCAAAAGACAAGAATGCCCTTCTCATACCGTGAGAGCAGCCAAAGGTGAACCATCAAAGGCTGAAAGAACAATCTCACTGTTCAAAAAGGCTTCGTATAGTTGCCTCTGTAAATAAAAAAAGATAAAAAGAATGTAAGTGGATTTTTTGAACTTAGTGTTCATATAAAATAAAGAATATAAAAACAATTAATGTAAGTACCTGACATTTGGATAATCTTAACCAAACAATAATCTCATTCTTTTTAGAAAGCTTGGCTGTATTTGTAGCATCATCATCACGAAAAACTTCACTTTTTAAACGCCTGAGAAAATAGGGCTGAATGCAATTTCTTAAATCCTGTATGTAAGATTGAATAAATGTTAGTTTTTTTTTTATAGTTTTAATCATCACAAAAGGTTATTGCCTTAATATTTATGAACTATTTTGTCATTTAGGGAAATATAACTAATAACCTGTGCAACAGCTGAACCAATGCGCTTATCTCGATCAGATGCATTTTTGTCATTTCCACGTAGGATTGCTGACTCATATTTTTCCTTAAAACTGAAAAAAGGAAATATAAGTAAAAAAAACATAACAATAAGAAGAAGAAGAAGAAGAAGAAGAAAATGAAATCTTACCATTTCTTATCTCCCAAAAGCTCTGGACAACAGAAGTTAAACAAAGCCCAAAGTTCCTGAATTATATAACAAAGAGGATCAATAAAGTGGCTTTTAAAACAATAAAAGTATAAAATTATTGTGTAATTCAAATTCAAAATGAAATAATATAAAGATGCATACTTTTAGGTTATTTTGAAGTGGAGTGCCACTTATTATTATACGATGACCACATGGTATTGCAAGTAAACTTTTTGCCCTTTGTGTGCTAGGATTCTTTATGAGATGCCCCTACATATTAATGTTCAATATAACAAAAATGTTTTCAGAATTCTTATGAAATGAAACAAAATCTGTAAAAAAAAAAAACATACCTCATCAAGAACCATGTAGTCCCAAGTAACAGCATCCTCCTCCATTTCATCATAATCACCAGATAAAGATTTAACATTATTGCGAACAATATCATAAGTTGTAAGAAGAACACCCTTATCCTACAAAACAAAGAGCATCAATATGCATCAACTAAATATTAGTAAAAGATTTATATATCAATCTTTGAGTTAAAAAGATCAAGTCAAAGAGACAAAGAATACCTGGAGTATATACTGGAGCTCATATTGTCGAGCTTTTGAACAAGCACCAAAGAATCTGAAACATAAAGGAAGAAATTAATCATCTTTATAAAACTAAGCAAATGATTATAAAAAAACAAAGTTATTTATATAAACTTACTCTCTTGTTTTTCGCGAAAGACCAACCACCCCTAATTCTTTCATCCAATGAGGTAATAGTGTTTTAGGAGCAACAACCAATACCCTTTTTATCAAATTTGAATGAAAAAGTCCAGCCAAAAAGCCACAAATCTGAATGACATGAAAGATTGAAGTTAAAGTTAATGTCATTCTACATATTTATAAAAAAGATAACACAATTACACATGTCAAAACCTGCATGGTTTTCCCAAGGCCCATGTCATCTCCCAAAATACCACCTTTGCCCTTACAATGTAGGGACCAAAGCCACTTCAAACCTTCACGTTGATGAGGGTATAGCATGGTTGCAATCTTACTAGGTAATGAAAAATTGAATTTAGGGTTACTAAGAGAAAACGCCCCTTCAACTCCTGAAATAGTATCATTTGTGTCATCATTCAATGTATACACCTTCTCATGCTTACTTTCCACCTTTTGAACAAACTTCTGCCCACTTGTAACCACACAATCATCATCATCATCATCATCATCATCATCAATGTCCTCATATTTCTCATTTTTTACATGTATGCCAATGTGATAATCTTTTCTGATAGATGGTGGAAAGTTAGTTTTTTTACTAATATCATTTGAAGTGGCACTAGAGATTTCAGCAGGCTTCTGTTGATTAATTTTTTCATTTTTTACAAAACTAGAGGAGCTTTGAAGGTGTTTAGTGGGGCGTCTTCCTTTTTCAATTGATAGAATCTCAAACCTTGAGCTTAGATTGCTTAAAATATCTCTAATTTCATCACCACTATCATGTTTGTTTTCAGTGTTCTTTACAGGAACAGGTGAATCAAATTCAGAAAGTGCAGCTGAAAAGTCTGATTCAACATCATGATATTTCTCATCTTCTTCTTCATCATCTTTCACCACAACTTTGCAGAGCCTCCTACGTCCTTGGATTTTAACTTTTTGATGTTTTCCTGAATCTGTTATTACAAAAAACACACTAAAAGACCTAAAAACAAAATGTTCATGTTTCATGAATTACAAGGTATAGAAACTAGAAAGACAACGGATTACCATGTTCAGAAGTAAGGTCATCCACAAGGGAACTATCAGGTTCATCAAGAGAGACATTATTTTCACATTGTTTGGAAGTTGGGAATTCATCTTCATTTATAGATATTTTCTCTGCCCCACTTGAAACAGCTACAAGATAGTATAAGACATTAAAAGATTGAATGTATTTCTAAAGAACTCATGTAGAATTATACAGTTGTTCTTCTCAAATCATGTAATTCATATCTTTTGCTAGAACACATCCAGCAAGCAAAGTGAAATAACTCAATAAGCCAATAAGTATTCTAAGATGTTTCAAGCACTGTAAACTGTTCGGAGAAACACTACAATAACTAAATACATAAAAGATAATGAAATAGATGGGTGGAATTCAAGAGATAGAGAAGTACCAGAAGAAGACGAACCAGACCCTGTGATGTCAAGTTTAGGGTTAAGGGATTCATCATGGAAGGCGCTATTTTTACCATCATCCGCTTGTTCCACATACGAATTTTCATCATCGTTCATGACCTTTGGTGGGGTGTCTGTTGATGCATTTCAGAAAGTAAGAAGCCCAGATAAGCAATTAGATGTAAAATTAGGGTTTAGGGATTTTCAAATTCCTACTGAAAAATCATCTAGATATACAGCTTATCAGATGGATTCAAGAGGCATAAATAGTCTTACCAGAAGGAGAATCGAAGTCGGTGATATTAAAAGAAGGGGCATCGAATTCCTCCTGCCGCTCACGATTCTTCATTTCTGTAGCAACATCGAACTCAAAGAGTAAATAATAGAACTAGTAATCTTATTCGCAATATAAACCCACATAGAAAGTGCCATGAAGACGTCAAAATCAAGGGTTTAAGATGATGGTTATGAAAGAAAAGAAGATATACATATTACATATACATACCAGATAGGAAATCGTAAGGAGAAGCTTTGGAATGAGAAGGGGTGAGGAAGCGATTGTGAAGCTGATTCAAACCCATGGGTTTCTTCTTGGAGGATGCATCAGCCATCTCTCTCTTCTCTGTGTGTTGCTTCATGAGTTTAGGAAGGAGATCCTTTGATTGTTTAAATACTCTTTTTCCCGCTTAGGTTTTTGAATTTTACCATTCTAAAATACTAAAATTTATCACGAATTAAAAAACATTTTATAAAATTGATGAACGATTAAGGGACAGAGAAAAATTATGAAAATTAAATGTCGATAGTATAATTTTTTGGTAAAGTGATTTTGTTGTGTATGATATATAGTCCTTTTTTGTGTTTCTAACTTTTAATTCAAAGTGATTTTTTGCGGTATTGTTTTCTATATATTAGAAAGCTTTTCGTTTAACTTTTACACAATGTTCTCAATGTTCTACAAGTTTTTATATTTTAACGAATGAAAATGAAGAAATTAGTATAAAAATTAGGAAAGTGTCCTCGCTTTGCGGGGGTTGGATCTGCATTCTATTGTTTACGAAATGAACTTAATGTAGATATTTCATTTATTTATAAAGTGACATGGAAGTCGTTACATTTGGTAGGTTTTCTACTCAGCATACGTATTTTTTATGACATGTTTATACTTTCCAATCCTTTTGTGGATTGATCCAAACATGAAAGCAATATTGTGTAAAAAAAAAATTCAAGATCTTCCGAACATTATCATTTCATTCATTATGAAACAGATGGCTTACATCAAACAAATACAATAGGAAACATCATTATAAAAAATCATTCACACTCTTATGTACAAGAACAAGACATAACAAGATATTAGTCTTAATGGAAGACTAAACCCTGACAGATATAGGAAACCTTAATTCTAGCGAGAGAGAGAGAGAGAGAGAGAGAGGTTCTATCAAAGAATGTATGTGTGCAAGAAATGAATTGAATGAGCCAATACGTCTGCAATGTAAGACTTATACACCGGGTCAGGAGCAGGAGAATGACAACATTACCGTTAGATACAGTGAAGAAGACTAGTATCTCGCCACGGGCACGCCAGCTAGGGCTCATCCCGACCCCAACAAGCAGAACGTCCGATAACCCGTCGGCATCCACTTGAAGGGTTTTCAAGAAATCAACAGTGGTTTGGTTGTGGGGGAACAATTTCGGAATGACGTCGAAAAAGTTGTTCGCTCGACAAGATTCTTGGCCAAGCAACTCCCGGTTTACCCATAACCATTTCTCCTGCCAGTTCTTGGGTATTTTACTGTCCAAAACAAGATTGTGCCCCCCGCGACGAGCATAAAAGGTGTACTTGTCGCCAGTAGCCCCGAACTGGAAAAAGTATTTGAATACAAAGAAATATGGAATGATGTCGATGGTTCGACATATCATTTCAAAGGCCACCATTTTATGAACTGCATTAGGAGTCAACATTTGGACACCGCAACCGTTACGACGGAGGATCTCCTCCTAGAAATCGGTAAAAGGCAGACGAAGGCCGACATCGAGTGTTTTCAAGTAAACGTCGGCTTTCCCGGTCGGAGGGGAAGTGATCACGGCGCCGGAAAATAGGAAACTCCACTCCGTCGGCCGAAGACAAGCCATATGTCTCCTGCAGTTTGTCAAACTCAGAAGCGCTAGGAACAAGACCAGTCGGAGTCGCCATAACGAGAAACCACTGGAAAAGAAGGAGAATGATGAAAGATGCAGAAAGAAAAAGGGGAAGATGAAAAAGCTCTTCCCATACATAAGTAGGAGGGTAGAAGGCGGTACTTTTCAAAAGCCTGACAAATGATGTAACTGCCAGAAGGGATGGGTGGTCATATCGCCGAAATTGAAGCGACGAGCGAACGACCCCTCAACACGTGTACATAGCCATTAAGTCTAGAACATCATAGCTAGCTAGCAAATGTTATGACTACTGGACTAGAGGACTTGATGGTGCGGCCCTAGCGCGAGCCAGAAGTGGATCCCCAGGCCAAAGGATCCCCCAACCAGCTCAGGCAGGCCCGGCGTGGATGTCTCGGTGAGGGCTCTGGCGCTCGGGCGCTCCCTCAGGGTGGAGCGCCCGCGCAAGAAGTTCGGCCTTGCTAAAGGCGTCCCTGCTACAGGACAAACACAATGGCTCCAAGCGACAAAGAGTATGCCCAGAGCACTAACACCTGAACCAATCGTTGGCCCCAACACAGCAGGGGACACGATTAACCAATCAGAGGAACGGATCCTGTCGGAACTGCAGTCTTCTATTCCCCGTACGGAATGACAAGGATCCCCAGTATAAAAGGGGCTTTCGCCCTACCCTCGAAGGAAAGCAATATCCCTCAATTCTCATCACTCTTAGCCATATACCTCTTACTGACTTGACCGTCGGAGTGTCTTACCGGGACCTTCTCTCGGGAAACGGCTGACGGCCTTATTTGCTGTGACTTTGCAGAGCCTCCCGACGACTGCAAGTAATCTAAGAGCAAGTGGTCGGAGTCAAGGTCGCGTCATAGGTCGTGATGCGTTGGGAGATCCCAAAGAATGCATATGAGATCTAGAGTTTCTTGGGCCTTACGGGGTATTATCAAAGGTTTATTCAATACTTCTCCAAGATTGTGGTGTCGTTGACTCGTCTAACCAAGAAGAATGTGACCTTTCGGTGGGGTCCGGATCAGAAGTTGGCCTTCGAGACTTTAAGATTGAAATTGTGTGAGGCCCCGATTCTTGCATTACCAAAGGGAACTGAAATGCTCTGCTCTTCACTGCAAGAGCCTCCGCCTTGTCCTGGCGGCCGCCAGCAATCCTCAAGGTGGTTGGCGCAGGTGCCACCACTGCTAGGGATGGCAACGGGTCGGGTTTGGGACAGATTTTAGTAATCCTGACCTCGTCCTCGAATGTGAAAACTGATCCCATCCTTGGCCCGATCCCCAACGGGTACCCGTTTACAAAGCACTATCGGGTTTGCGGGTATCCCAACGGGGTAACAAAGAACCCCATTCAACGTTCAATTTAAGAATAACTTTGATGCAATGAGAATACAAAACCTTAAACTTAGTGATGCAAGAATAAATTCATATCCGTAATAATTTTGATAATGTACAAAACCATTAAGAGTAGACGTACTTGTTATGATACATAAGTGGTTACTAGTGGCAAAAAACAATAAAAACACTAGCATTCATAAATCATAATATCAGTATTACTCTAACTACTATGAATAAAAAATGACAAAACACTAGCATCACAAATAAAACAGGAAGTTATCTCAAGAAATTATCTTCAAATCGTTCACAACAAAGAAGATAACTCAATGAAGTTAATATATATATATAATATATATATATATATATATATATATATATAATCATATGAACGGTTTCAAGTAACTGGTTTCAGTTTCTGTTTCCGTTTCCGTTTCTGGTAATCAGGACGGGTATTATGTTTACCATCCCCGAAACCGAACCTGCGAAAATTTTCTAAGAGTATACCAAACCCGATCCCGTCCCCGATTAACCTACCCCAAACCCGACCCTAATATGTCGATTTTCGGTTTTCACCATCGGGCTCGGTTTCTTTTGCCGTCCCTAACCACTGCCCCACCAAACAATCTCGGACAGTCGGCCTTTTTATGGTCGGTCTAGTTGCAGTGAAAGAAAATCAAGCCCTTCTTTGGGCACTCCCTGCTCATGTGGTCGGGTCAGCCACAAGCATAACATACCGAGCTTGCTATCCGACAAGCCCCACTGTGTGGCTTGCCGCACTTGGCACAACGGCGTCGACCCTACTGGCCTCTGCTGGCAGTGTCGGAGGTCTTAGGCTTCTTGGCCTGGCCTACTGTTGACTGAACCTGCTCGGGCTTCCGCTTAGTCTGGAGCTCCAACTCAATTTCCCATTCTCGGGCCTTCTCAACCATGTCATTCAGGTTTTTGCACCCTGAAAAGCTCACAAACTCCCGAATATCATCCCTCGGCATGGCATGATATCTCGTCTTCTTCATCTCCTCGTCCGCAGCATACTGCGGTACCAATAGTGCCCTCTCTTTGAACTCGGCGCTGATCTCCGCTACCGTCTCCGTGGTCTGGTGAAGGTCCTGGAACTCCCTTACCAACTGTTGCACCTCAACAGAAGGTGCAAACTCCCGATCAAACCTATGAACGAACTCCTCCCAAGTCATCACCATCACTCCATCTATCCTCACCTCACGGGTCACCTCCTCCCACCAATCCCAAGCTCGGTCCCTCAGCATGCAGGATGTGAATCCTACTTTTTCCACATCGGGACAAAAGCTCGTGCGCTGAGCATTCTCCATGTCAGCGATCCAGCGGCGGCTAGCTATGGGGTCCTTAACCCCAAAGAACTTGGGCACTCCACACGCCTTGAACTCCCAGAATGAGGGAGTTCGAGTCCCAATCTGACCCACAACAATTTCGACTCGGAAAGACCTGAGCCACTCCTCCATAATTTCCATGATCCCTTCCTTGACGGTACCAAAAATCATCGGGGTAGCGTCAAGGATGTCGTGCATAACCTCGGCTATGATGAGCTAGCGTAACCTCTCATCATTTGGGTCCGCACCGGAACCCGAACCCGAACCAAACCTTGATCCTGAACCTGATCCCCCTCATGTAGTCATCACCATCCTCAACTGAAAATACAACAAAATATTTAGTAAGAAATTCGAAAGGGATTCTTTCTCGCCAGATTCTTCAGAGTTCTCAAGTTTGTCCTTGTTTCGGGTACATGTCCTGTGCTTTCAGTGGTACGGGACCAATACTACCTAATGGGTTTTATACAAAACAAACAATCCTATGTGTGCATGCAACCCTAATTTGAGGATCTATGTTTTCACTATTAGACATACAAGCATTGAACACAAAAACTAGAAACCCTAGGAGGCACATGTAATTTTCGAAATTAAAATATAATTAGGGTTAGGATACATACCTTTATTGTTATATTGTAATAACAATCAAATCCTTGAAGATCTTGAACTTTGGAAGCAAGCGCCACAAGTGTCGCGCCTCTAATGGCTCACAAACAAACCTAGCAACCAAGGATTACTATGGAGAGAGAAGGGAAGTGGAAAATTCGGCCCTAGCCTCTCTTAGAGTGCCCTTGGACGAAA